ACAAACTTGGCTTAAAATATTTATTATTTATTTGAGATGAAGGGATGGGAAGAGTAAAGGACAAGCTAAGGAGAAAGCAGGTGAAATCCAGTTTATTTTTAAGACCAGTTGCATAGCTGCAGGCTGAACAGCTCATGGTAAACAATGAGCAGTGAAACAAGTATATAGTAAACAATTATAGTAGTAAAAGTAGAACACAGTGGAAAAACAGGCAACATGTGTTTCTCCACACAACAGCTTTGCTGTTGAAAAGAAACTAAAATGCTTCAGAAGAGCATTTCCCCTCAGTGGAGCTGGATCCAGAGCTCCAGGACACACAGATCACAGCTGCAGGCCTCAGCCAGCCAGAAGTATGAAATTATTCATGGCTGCAACAACTATCATAATCTCCTTTACAGAGTTTACTAAGTTCCAAAAACTGGGGTCTGATCATATTTTAAAAGTGAAAAGCTCCTGATTCATTGCTATTAACCACAGGCCTTTTCCTTCCTCAACCTGATATAGCTGAGAATTGTGTTTCCCCACCTCCCAATTATTCCATCAATAAAAACTAATCACTTAAACTCTCACTGATGGCAGCTGAACCTCTGACATCCCAGCACTGTGGGGCCCTCACCATTTCACACGCTCAGCACCTCTGATACCCAAGCTGTCCTTCCTTCTGGGGCTGCAGATGTTTGGGAAGGCAGGGCATGGATGGCTCGATGTGCTCGATGGCTCGAGACTTTCCAACCCTGCTCCCCAAGTTACTTGTCAAGTGCTCCTTCCACAAGCATGGAAAGAATTAGACCCATCAGAGTGGATCCAAAACAACCAGCAAACCGTGAAACTGGCTTCTTGTGAAGCCAGGAGGAGTTCCAGGAAAGAGCCTTCAGAAAAACCTCCCCACACGTGGGCTGCATAATAAAATCCACTGCAAGGAAAGGAATTCCTAGGAAGTGATGGTCTAAAGACTGAGACCTTTGGAAAACGGTCTGAGGAGATGTAGATGGATCCATCTCCTTTCAGAAGGCCCTTATCTGTCCTCCAACACTGTCACTGAGGGCAAGGCCCAACCAGGAGGGCTGTGCAAGCTGTGACCACGGAAGGATAAGTTGTGTTGAGAAAGCAGAGAAGACTCTCCCAGACTGAGGAGGACAAGAGGAACAGGAGGTGCAGCAGGTGAAGGCAGAGGGGACTGCTGCTCTGAAGGGAACAGCACATGAGGTGCACACTCCTCGTGCACAGACTCAGTTTTCAGACATCAGCTTTGGTAAATTCTCCCAGAAGCTGCCCTAAATCAAAATTCCAGGACACATCAGTAATGTCCTGCACTCGATGCAGCCAAGGTCCCTTGGAGGAGTGCCCTGAAGTTACTCCACATGTTATCTGTCTGGTTTCATAACCTGGAGGAGAAGCAGTGCTACTTTATCTGGCTCATCAAACAAACTTGCTCCAGAAATGATGGTCACAGGGAACAGATCTAGTCCAGGGTGGTCAATGCCTCCTGTCTGAGCAACAAACCCAGAAGAGGAAGCTAAAAGATGCAGGTACAACCATCTACAGGGTTCTGAAGAACATTCCACCTCAGCCCCATTTTGGGAAGACAAACGTCTGTGGGGACTCAGCTGTACCCTCTAAAAGTTCATAAAATATACAGACATTGCCCAGCACCAACGAGCTCAGCAGGAATGTTCAGCCAGGCTTCTCCCAGACCAAAGCCAGCCATCCTCATCTGGCAGCGTGAAAACTCTGCCACACGTTCATGCAGAGAGTCTTCCCTTCAAGTCAACAATCTGCAGGCCCAGATGTGTGAAAATATCGGGTATTCGACACATCAGCATTGTCCTTCTGCATCACTAAACAGCGCTGCATAAAAACACTGGGTCTGTCCTTTGGGTTTGTTTTTAGCTTAGGTATAAACAGTACTTTATTTCCCAGAAATACTGTCATTCATCTCAAAGATGGATGATCATAAAACACTTCTTTCAAACTGAAAGCCTCAGGGAAAACTTCAGCGAATCTCAAAGTTTTCACTTTCACTCACGGGCGAACAACACAGAACTTGTGACACGGGCCAGGAACAGCTTCTTGAGGCTGAACCCAGGCTCTCTCCAGCTCCACAGCAGAGCTCTCCCTCTCACAGCAGCTCTTGGACTGGATCAAGCTCCAGCAGCTCTCTGTTCTCACACTGCAACAGGGTGGCTGAGAAAATGCATCTGCACACGTCGTTCTGAGCTCAAGTGAAAGCGTGTCCTGAGCTGGAAGGGCCAGCTGATGTGCCAGCCACTCAAAATGTCAGCAACAAAAATGCCAATAATTAGCAGTCCTTAAAACCAGTAGGTTTTTAGGTCAGATCCCAATTCATTCCTCTGATTTTTGGAACATCTCCTCTGAAAGGAGGTGATGCCTTTGCACCTTCTCCTCGTCCTGGTTTTCCGAAAGTCAGGGTTTGCCCCGTTTGGTTACTCAACATTTTGGCTGAGCTGCTCTTGCCCAGACAAGCTGAATATTTTCCTACCACTCACATGCATTTATCACCTATGATAGCATCTGGGTTTTACAGCAGGAATGTTGCAACATCACTGAGGTCACAGCTGATAGACACCCCTGCTTGCTCACTGAAGCTCTTCCACGCTGGCCTCGGAGTGCAAGTCCAGAAATGTATTATAATTATAAGTTTAAAGTAATTTTTAAACATGCAGAGGTTATTCTGAAAACGTGGCATCTCAAGGATAACTTGTTTACCTCGTTCAGCAACCTGTTTTCTTTCCAAAGCAGACTTCAAGACTAAAGAAACAGCGCAGTAAAATCTAGTTTGGAGGGAGCAGGTTTTACTAAGTTTCTTTTCCCTAAGACCTAAGGGAAAAAAAAAAAAAAAAGAAAAAGAAAAAAATCTCATCACTTTAATCACAAGGTAATTTTAATCATTTACCTTGCTCAGAGGTATTGACAGAGATCAGCCACCTCTGCTGTAACCCCTTTATCGTGTGAAGCTCAGTGACAAGAAAATGGGATTTAACGACTGTCCTGGTAATGCACTGACAGGGAGCCACTACAAATACCCTTTCATTTTTCTGATCTTTAAACTTTGAACTTTACAGTGCTGTCTGCTTGCTGCTGTCTTTATTACCCCAGCTGAACTGTATTTTTATACTCCCTTGCTGGAAATCTATTCCAGCTCCTCTCACCCATCTGCCATCACAGGCTGTGCCTGTGCTGTGTGAGAACTGTGCAGGGTGGCTGTTCTGTCCTGTCCAACACACAGCTACAGTCTGCTCTGATGGGAACTAATGGGAACTTAATTTTCATGTTTTATTGGGACATTCACAAAGCTGTTACCACGCTCACCTGAGCACAGCTTGGTATCTAAGCAGCTGGATCAATCCCTTGGCCAGCACATCTTTCAGCTGTATAAAAATAGGAATGAGCTGGAGGGACGGGACAAAGAAGATGGTTCTGAGCTATCAGTACACCAAATTAACCCTTTGGGACAGTCCAACAAGGATTTATGAAGAAGGACTGGGGTAGCCAAGGCTCAGAGTAAGCAGTAACCACATAGACATGTTTTTGCATTTTGAATATAAAGTGTTGGTTTCCCTGTAGGAATTGTGTGGATATTTGCCCTTAACCACTGGAGATGAAGGATTGGCACCCTTATTTTTTCAGAAGCATCATCAACTCCGTTGCCCAAGGATTTTGCTGTTCTGCACCTCAGCCAAAACAACAGAATCCCAAGCAGCCCTGCACTTCTTAATATTCCTCTGCTGTAGAAGCTGAATGGAATGACATAAAGCAAGGCTGCCATTTACACTCTATGAAAAAAAAAGGCAAACAAGCTCCTGATGGCTCAGCCACAGCCACAGGGAGGGCATTTCCCAAGCACTGGGCTCTGGCACACCTGACCATGAATAGCAGAACACCTTTAACTCTCAATTCTCTAACCCATCTCTGTCCTCCAAGGGACTCTGTTCCCCTGATCTGGATCCCCAGAGGATAAGAGGAAAGATTTTTTTTTCTCCTATGGTTACACTCCCTGCAAGTTGTTACCTTGCTAAAAAAATTAAAGCTGGAAATATGTCCCTTTCTTCATTCCCAGCTGCTTCACATGCACAATTTAATGAAAAAGGGGAAAAAAAAAGTAACAACCTACTACATTTCACATTTCTGATCTGGTTTTTTTCTTTAAAAAAAAAAAAAATGAAATGGAAAAGCCCATCCTGAGGCTTTCAGGAATGAGGGATGCTGTCAGTAATACCCAGGATTATATCCAAGGATTAGCCTATTTGAGGCTTTATCAGGAAACTACACAATAATTAATTGGCCACAACGCTGAGTTTGGAAACAGAGGCCGTGTCGTGTTACAAGAAGGAAAGCAGAGTTAGTCACTGCTCCAGAGAGCCCTAAAGTCAGTAGGAGACTTTAGATCCTTATTCCTTTAACATAAAACTGATTTCCCACAAGTTTTCTGTGAAGGCTGTTCTGTGAAATCAGTGCACAGTGTTTACATGTCACGCTGATATTTTCCAGATGCAGACTTTGATATTCCCAAGTTAAAAAAAAAAAAAAAGAAAAGAAAAGAAAGCCCAGCTAATTCAGAGCATCCTGAAACTAAACCAGTGCTGTTTATTTTCTACTGGCCTATTTCTTTTGGCAGTGCTACCTTGAGCTCACAAACTGTAACCCAGAGAATGCAGCGTGGCCTCAGCCACAGCTGCGATGGGAGTGGAGCATAAACATGCTCCTATGCAAATAAGTGCAAGAAATAAAGAATCATTTGCAGAGTCACTCTTTGCATAATTGAAATGACCCTTTCTCTTTTTTTTTTTTTTTTTTAAAGAGAAGAATAATTTGAAAGGAAGAAGCAGTTTGAGGTAAACCATGAACAGACAACATCCAGAATTTCTTCCTGGTGATCAGTTTGGAATTGAAAGTTTCACAGTCATGACAGGCTGACAGTATTGTGACAAACTGCCATCCCCTCTTTAGTGCATGGTGTATAACCCAGTGAAAGAAAATACCTGGGACAGTCTCAGAGCCTCTTCTTCCACCTCTTCTCCATCTTTCCTTGTATTTTATTTGCATGGAGTCAACTTCTTAATGCAGGGATGGTGTATGAAAACCAGTTGATGCTTCTTGCAGGCTGAGAAAATTTACAATTTACAATGATTCTAAAAGCTTGGAACAGAAACAAACCCCGCTGTGATTGTCTGGGGTTGTTAGAAAAAGCCAGTCTGCAGTATTTGTGATTAATAACAAACACCTCTGGCTGGCATAGAGAGGGCCAGGTTTGAAAAATAAAATAAAATAAAATAAAATAAAAATAATCACATTTTTTTTCTTAATTACATTTTCTGAGAGGAAATAAAGGGGCAAAACAAAGCAACTCCAGTTGCAATTTTGTCTCCCTCAGACCTTCAATGTGACCATCCTACTGTGCCATGCTCCTGTTTTCTACTATGACAACCATCATGAGGACAATAAAAGAGTGTTACTTGAGGTAATGGGGTAATTTTTTCAATATGCTGCTTGTTTTGCCCACCAGATTGCAGTAGGGCCAGTTCCTCTATAGGCTACAGGATGGCTGGTTTTGTGCAATCATTAAATGATTCACTGGGTCTCTCTTCCTGAAGCAGTTAAATCAATAAAAAATAGAAAATTAAAAAACAAACAAACAACAACAAAAACAACCACCCAAAAAAAACAAACAAAAAAACCCACACCCACACACAAAAAAGAGAAAACAAACAACAAACATTTCATTTGCCAAAACAACTCTGACTATGCCATATATTATATTTCATATTATCATATAAATTAAAATTACAAATCTGGCAAAGGGCATTGGCCATCTTGTCTGGATGCAGCCAAATCCTCCTGCTGAAAAATGTTCTCTTCCACCTTCCCACTCTGCAACAGCATCAGCACATCCCCCCTCACCCCTCAGCTTTTACCAGCTCTTCTCATTAATACTGACCAGTGTCAATTTTTGTTGCTAATGCTATGAAAAGACAATATAAATACATACAGGGTCTGGTTTTTTAAATAAAACTGCAGGTAAGTCAGCTCAGCAAACTGTAATTTCAAAGTATAAAATGTACCAACCTTAACAAGGAGCCTGATCCTGTAAAACCCTCGGTCTTTTCAACCTCCAGGACAACATCCCTAAAAAAAAAATGGCATCTTAAAGATCCCAGCAAGAGGCTCCTCACTCCTATTCAAAGGGGTTTTTTGGGGTTTGGTTTGTGTTTGGTTGGTTTGGGGTTTTTTTGGGAAAAAATTATGAATAATCAAATCTAGCCTGATTCCCATTTAATCAGGAATACTGCTGTCACAGGATTGCTGAATCCAGCCTGGGATTTCATAAAAATACTTCAAAGCTTATTTACCACTGCCCTACTCACTAGCTCAGGTGACATCTATTGCATCAACTACTGCAAAAGCTGAAACAAAGCAGGACTCTAAAACATCATCATCATCATCATCATCATCTTGGAAATTTCAATATAGCTTAATCAACTTACACCATGTGCTTTTCAGACCTACCTAAGAGTCAGGTAAATACTGCCCATCCTAGACACAGCTGACAAACCAGATTGAATTCTGAAAACTGGGTAAAGATGAGGAAAGGGGAGAAAATGGTACATATATCAAATGTGATGCCATGAAAGAAAACAGTCACCAGATCTATAAACTGATTTTACTGCAAAAGCAAGGACACACTATCCACTTGATCTCTTCCCCAGGAAGAGTAACGAGCAAACAGAGTAAATAACTGGTTTATGAGGATTCTTCACATTGCCCTGAAGTAAAATTAAGAAAAAAACAAAGGGGCAGAGCTGAGAATAATACAGAAAAGATCTTTTGCCAGAATTATGCTGCTGGACAATGAGGACTCTTCCAGGACCCTCCAGGCTATTTACTGAGCAGGCCATTGACCGTGGCTAATTTTCATCTTGCAAATCGATTATTTGCTTACATAAAACAGGGAGGCAATTGTTGCTAGCACTGGGAAGTCTAACACAGTGTAGTGCACATAAACTGTGGTGTAAAACATCCCAACTCTTTTATGTTTTAACACATCCCAACGTTAGGAGAACTCTTCCCAAAGCTGGCTCATGCTTTTGTTGATGAGGTAGTTCTTGATCAGCCTCGTGGGGAAGAATTCAAATATTGGGCTGAAAACTGAACTGCTTGGAGCTCTTGCAGGAGTGAAAAGTTGCTCTGCAACAGCACTGCTGTAAAACTGCCCACAAAAGCACAACCAACTTGCAAGTTCATAAGGATATGAGATCAAAACCGTTAGGTAGATGTGGATCGGACAATTCTCGTCTCCAAAGCACAAAAGAACCAAAAACCTCTGCAGAGTTTTACCCAACAGGAGCATACCTTGAGTTTTCTGCTCCATTTTAATGAGCTTTCATTTAGTTGGAGAGAAAACACATTAGAGACTCAATGTAACAGGAATAAACATAATACTATTGCATGAGAGCTGGAGAAGAGAAAGCAGTCAGAGAGGGAGCTAAAATTAAATTAATTAGCAAAAATTATCGTCTTCAAACTCTCATTTAGTTCTTGATTCCATAAATAGGGGTTTTTTCACTTGATTACAAATACACAGAGTTGTTACTGAGGTTGAAATCAAGCAAATGCACCTTTTAGCACATCCATGACATTTTGAAAACCCTGTGCTTTAAACTGAGGAAATTTTTGCCAGGAGCTGCCAGGTAAGCCAGAAGTTATAGCAACAGCAATGGCAAAAAAAAACCACCCAAAAAACCCCAAACCATTACCTAAGTGAAAAGGAAAATCAGGCTTTTAAAAGCTAAAGTTGGAAATAATTCTGTGACTTCATATTTAATTTCCAACTACTGACCTTTTCCTATGAAGGGAATACAATACAGTTGTTCTTTATCTCAGGGACAATCTTCAGACACTATTTTAGCATTTGTCTTGCAGAATTCTTTTCCCATTGCAACGATTTCATTAGAGAGGACACTCAGCTTACAGCCAAGAAACCAAGACTCTCTCCCTAAGCTTCAGTTTGGTCTTTGGCAAACAATGAAACCTTGAGAGCTTCAGTTAAGCAGCTGTAAAAAAAAGAACCATTTTGAGGCCTTGGAGGAGAAGCACAAGACATTGATAGTGCATATTGGTTATCACCTGAAAATAGGATTAGAACCTTGGAAATAAAGTGAGACTCCAGCATTTTGTGCTGGATGTTATGAAAACTTATCCTTTAATTTACTGGAAAGAACCCTGGCCCTCATTCAAATCAAACATCTGTTGTATAACCACTCTGTTGCTTGTTAGGTGGCAACAGGAGGTGAGCCACACACAGAGGTTAAGAAATGCCAGACTCAAGGTTGCCTAATGCAGTTTCTATACCGTGATACATGCTCTAATTATGCATTTTTTCCTCCCCAGACCTCATGCACATCACAGTTCTCCTGTCACAATTTCTTCCATGCCATTTTTCAGGCACTTTTTTTTCCCCCCCATGCCTCACCTCGTGGTTTCCCTCAGTTATAATGCCCTCAAATATTTCATGGAATAACCTTTTCTGCACTCCAGAAAGAGGTGCCATTTACAGTGACAGCCACGTTAAGGAATTATTTATTACACAACAACAGCAGCAAATAATTCAGAGTATTTGGGGACTGAAAAAAATTAAAGTTGAAAACGCTGCTCTTACTTAAGGTGATTTATTCTTGAATTGTTGGTTTGGTTTTTATTCTTTCCTAATGGTCAAATGTAGCCGTATCTTGAACAACGTTTTGTACCTTCAACATTTAAAATCTCAGTAGCCCCACAGGGCAGGAAGAGAGTCAATATTAGCATTTGTTGATCCAGCTGCTCAAACACCACGGACAGTCGAGCCTCAGTGAGTGAGGATGAAGCAGCAACGCATTTGTGTCCTGAAAAGGCACATTAAATCCTGTCCCCATCCATCATTTTGAGATCCATCTCACTTCCCACTAAAAAAAAAAAAAAAAAGCTTAACAGGAGCAATTAAATACTCTTACATTAAGCATTTATGGCAAAAAAAAATAAAAAGCTGTGCCACCTGCCAGGTTCTGATCTTCTCCCTGGTGGTGGAAGGTGAAGCCACGGAAGGAGTTTGTGTTCTCTGGAAGGTAAACAGCTCACTGGGCTTTTGCAGCAGAGGCTCCCAAGGTAACTGTATCTGCAGTTCTGAAAGCTCTACATCTCATCAATAAATCAATGGAATGGAACAAAGCAAGAAAATGTAGCTGGAAAAATCATAACTTGATGCATGGTTACAATAATTTGGCAGGCTGCTCTGCTCTTGCAGGAATAAAATCAGAGGTAGCTCTGCCACTGCAGCACTGCATGCATGGGGAAAAACATGAGAAGAAATCTTCTTGTAGTGAGTCAGCCCATCCATCCCTCTCTTTGCTCTTATATTTGCACTACAAACCAAATTTATTTAGTCTAATTTATTGCCTTTGTTATATATAATATATATTTGTTATATATACATGAATATAGGAAACTAAGAACGTTATGAAAAGAAGAGCTATGGTAAGACCAAGGAAGTTGCAGGGGTATAATCAAGGCTATTTTCTTTATGCCAGCAAATTCTGTGCTGTATTCCAAGGTACCACTGCCAAACTGGAATGATTATGCCTCTGAATCACCCATTTCAAAACAGAATTCCCACTTACCTTGAAATGGAAAGAATGGAAGAATCTAAACAAATGAGGGCCTGTGGTTTCCTGGTGTTTTCCCATAACATGTAATTTTTCTGCTTTTGCTCAGCAGAGCAAAAAATGTTGCTCAGTCTGTTATTAAAAAAAAAAAAAACAAAAAAAAACCCAAAAAAAACAACAAACAAACAAACAAACAAAACAAAACAAAAAAAAAAAAAAAAAAAAAAAAAAACACCCCAAAAAAACCTGAGATGAAGCAGTCACTGTGCACAGATCGGAGTATTTGCTCAGCTTGTACCAGGTCCAGAAGGCAAAAAAAGCATGGCTCATAAGGAATGAGACAGCAAACACTAGTTTTAATTTTACAGTACTAGCATAGTATTATATAAACCCTTTATATTAATTATATACACACCACTGTGGGAAATATAAGAGGACAAAAATATGCATAGCTTTTTTAAAAAAAAAAGTACAGCACAAATTATGGTATTTGTCTGATCCAGGCAATCAATCCTGTATTTCACAGGACTGATTCTGTCTACTAAGAAATAAAAACTTCAACCCATATTCAAGACTAACACTTTTATTTGAGCTTGTGCTGAATTGTTCCATCTGTCTCTGTGTCCTGGTCTGCCCAGAAATAAGCTGCAGGTTGTTAAAATTAAAAGCTCCACTCAATTAATAAAAAACATAAGCTGTAGTTTATAGACATCTGTACATTTATAAACATCAAAGTTAGGATTCCTGCTGCTTTTCATTAGGAAAATCTGAGTCATTGTCTGAGGAAGGCTCAAAAATCCATATTAAAACTTACACACCCTATGTCTGCTAAATAAACTACTCCATAAGAACCACTCAGAACAACTGCAAAGGAACCTCTTTGTAGGGCCAAGATGACTCTGCTCTTATTCTTGCCTGACCCTGAATATTTCCATTAAAACACTGGTTCTAAAATTCAATCTCGACCTTAAAATGCTGATGGGAGAATCCACCAATGATTTTTTACGTCATCAATGCTTAATTAACCTCAAAACTGCCAAGATATCATTTTCTTTGAACCTCAATTGACTTTGATTAACTTTATGCTTCTCTCACTGAATTTTCTTCTGTGTGCTTTACATGAATTAGACCAGGAAACCTCTGTTTTCTCTGTGATCAAATCAAAGGGTCTTCACTTGCTCTTTGATCTGCTGAGTAGGAGTTCCTAAACCTTTCCAACAGTGCTGGGAGACAGACACTCTCTTCTCTACTCAGATATTTGGCAGTCTCTGAAGTATTGAGAAAAGTAAACATATAGCCCATGAAGAATTCAGCATTTCTCTTCAAAAGGAGCTAAAGGTTACCTAAATAAATTACTTGATGAAAAATTTCTCACTGCCAACAACTGCAGATTCTGCCAACTGACAGCACCTGCACACATCTGGCTCTCAGGAGAGCTGGGAATTCACTGTAACCTGAGCAGTTGGATCAAAGCAGGCAGCACTGTACTAAACTCAGGAAATATATACCTTTTCAAGGACTCACCCAACCTGCTCCAGGTGTGTCAGCACCAAAGGTGAGCAGCCTGCCCCCTGATTTAGGCAGCACGGGCTACGAGGGTTGGTGTGTGCCGAAATCAGCTGGACAATCACACCACTGACCCCACAAGGAGCTGTGCTATATTCACATCTGGGATTACCCCTCCATTCTTCACAACCTGTCTAAATAAATGTGGCAAAAGAAAAGGGGCAGGTGAGGAATCAAGGTCAGCAATAAAGGAACAGGGCATCCCGTTGCAATAAGGCAGGAAGCAGCAGAGTTTCCAGCTCATCTCCATCTGAAAGGATCCAAGGGCACAGAAAACACCACAGTCCTCTGGTACAGAAACTGTAAAACAGCTTTATTGAGGGAGAAATACAGAGAATTGCCTCCAGCTGGGAAATGCCTGCAGCAATGTCTCCTGCACGCTGAAACTTGTCTAATTCTGAAGGTTTGGGAACATCCAAATGAGTGAGAGTCATTAGGATTAAATATTATTTTTAAGGCAACATGCTGATCTTTCAGACTTGCACTATACTGTGCTTGGAGCATCAAAACAGGGGTATTTCAAGTAACTGAATTCTATGTGGTTTTAACCATTAATTACCTGTTCTAAATGACGTTTCTCTGATTAAATTGCCTTTAACATTTACCACTTCTTTTCCAAATTTGCCATGGCTTTCTCTGTTTTGAGGAAGTTTGTCTGTCTCATTAACCAGCTCAGTGCAACAGAGGAGGTAGGGCCACCATCTATTTTAGAATAACAGCCAGAATGACAACAGTGGACTTGAGAGCTCTCTGTTAAATTGATTTACTTTGGGCCTGCTGGAGAAATAATCCTTTCACATGACGAGAGTACCCAGACCAACAACTGAGCAGCTTTTCTGGCACAACAGAAGGAGAGAGTGGATCATTACAACCTCCCACTCTGACCCCCAGAATAAATAAATTAAAAAAATAAAGACTTTTACGTATTCATCTTTTTAGAATTGGAGCATTTGCTTCAGAAAAGCGTCCAGTTCAGATTTTAGAATGTCCAATAAGGGGAAGTTTATTCCAATCTTTATTAAATCATTCCACTGGTAAATCACTCACCCTTTTTAAGATGTGCCTGCTTGGAATCTAAACCACCACCTAGTCTTAAATTTAATTGCATGGCTCTCATTTTACCCCTGCCAGCCAGCCAGGAGTGCTGCTGTTATTAAACCTGCACTTCACATCTGGGCAAGCTGCTCCTTCATCTCCTCCTCCTTGACAAACTGTGCTGGATCCCACTGCAAAGAAAGGTTTCCACATCTCAGAGCTCCTCTCTTACACCTCCAGGAGCAGTAAACTTCCAGATCTGAAGGTGACACGCTGCTAACCATCGTCCTGTGGGTAATTACAGCTTGGACAACCTGCTAGCCCTTTGTTCAGACAGAGAAAGCATCACCTTTGTAACGCTGCCCTGGGAACTCCCTCACCCCCAGAGCTCTTTTCTGAGTCGTTGCTTCCCAAAACAGCCTTCCCTCAGCAGAGAAAACACTGGTTTTGTCTCCAGCAGCAGGATTTGAGCTCCAGCCCAACAATCCACCCAGTCAATCCCTTCAGTGGAAGCCCAGCAGGAGGGAAAGGTCAGAGGGCTGGAAATCCCTCTGATGAGCACGTGAGTGCAACTCATGACTGCAAACAAACAGCATCTTATCCAATGATGCCAAGAGGCATCTTATCCAATGCCTCTTAAGCAGAATTGCTCATCCTGACACTGTACTGACATGATTTGGAATCAGCTGCAAAGCACTGACTCGAGATAAAGCCAAAAGAGTCAACCAAAGGGTGAGCTCACCAAGCTTCGCCTTCACAATCACAATCTTTCAAAGGTAGCAGTTGACAGAAATGCATCTGTGCAGATGTGGGGGGCTCCCAGCACTTCTTCACACCACACACCCCACCTGCACAGCAGCTCCCGTCCTCAGGCACTCCGGACACAACCTCGAGCTTCTCAGGCCACGCTGACAGCTGGAACCACCTCATTTTGGAAGTCTGGTAAAAAAAAAAAGGGAGGAAAAAAGTACTCCAAATATCCCTATTGTGGGCAGATTATCCTAGAAGAGAAGGCTCAAGGTTTTGGGTTTTTTCAGTCCTTCAGAGACACAGATGTCATTGGCTTTTTGGTTTTATCAGCCGTGTTAAAAATGGATTCAGGCAAAGAGGTCAAGAAGTTTTACTCTGGAGAGCACGAACTCCCAAAGAAATGGGCAGATTCTCAGAGAAGCTACAAGCAGGACTGATCTGCAGGAAGGACAAGGAAATGCAAATGAGAACACTGTGGAAAACACTGATGCTCCTTGCACTGAGCTCACAGGGAGCACTCACAGGGATGTTCCTTTCTTCAGCCATTTTTGTGCTTTGTCACACAGGCTTGCTGAAGAAAAAAAAAAAGAAAAGCCTAGTTTAAAACCAAATTTATTTGTTTCCTTTTAATAATGCTGGTTTATTCCTTTGCTCTGCCTGGCAGCAAGACAGATAATTCCACTGTGAAAAAAAAAAAACACAACAGGTCATAAAAAAAACCAAACCAAAACAAAAAAGAGAGGTGAGATACCAGACTGAGGTTAAAATAAATGAGGCCCAGGGACGTCAGTGCAGACACTGACAGTGATAACTGCAGAGCAGCTCTAATGAGCTGAGATATTTTTTCCTGCAGGGTACGAGTTACTCCAGGAGTCAAGGGAATATTTTTCAAGTGGCAAATAAAGCGCCTCAGAGGAATTAATTGTTGCATTGTTAA